GCTGTGATCCATAGGGTGTTTTCATTGACTGATTTTTCAAAAGTGGCTTGCCAGGCCTTTCTTCCTTGTCTGTTTTAGTCTAGAAGCTCCACTGAAGCGTGTTCGGCATCATAGCGACATGTACAGACAGGTGGTGGCTGCACATGAGGTGCATTGGTTGGGAATTGTACTCGGGTCTCCTGCACGGAAGGCAAGAATTCTAGCACTGAAACACCACTGCTCCCCTCCATAATGTACTGGTACCTGTTAAATATTGTGATTCTTGAGTAGTTTTGCCCAGTGACAATTGCTTTTATTAAAAACTGTGTTTTTTATTCTTCTCTAATATCTGCTTCCATGGTAACTAGGTAATTGTATGTTCATTTTACTGCCCTTATGACATTATCATCTCTCACTTGGAATCTCTTACCTATTGCCTTTTGTTCTCCTGGTTCTGACTTAGTTACACTGATTAATAACTTTTTTATCCAAACTCCTCTTTTCACCTACACCTTGACTCTGGAATTATCCTTTGACCTCATAATCTGATTGCGGCTTCCCTAACCCAGTGAATGGGCATGTTCTGCTGAGAAGAGCAGGACTTGTTTTCATTTTGTCTGTGTTTACATGACATCTTGTTCTGAACAGTATAGCTCAGAGAACACCCACTGGAAGAGGTTACAGCAGGGGAATGTATGCATAAGTAGAAAAATAAGATGGGAGACTGACATTTAATTTCAAAGATATGAGTGTAGAAGGTAACTGGGCTAATTAGACTTTGAATACTTAGTCTAGCAACCTGGTCTCTGGGCAGATTTCATGAGTGGGTGGTCTCTTGGAGTGAGATTTTGAGAGATTTGTGACGTGTCTCAGAAATTGGATGTGTGGTGGATCAGAGCTGAAGCCCAGTGCAAATATCTCACTTTATAAGGCTTATGCACCTCTCCTCTGAAAAGTAGATGCTACCTTCTGAGCCCTGGGTCAATCTTTCCCTGAATTCATGTATTATCAATTAAAATGAATATTTAATTTCTTTTCTTCCTAGAATACAGGCAGATACTAAAGATACTTGATGACTTGAAAAGTCTAAGTGCCTGGAACTATTGTCTATTCCCTTCTTCTCATACTGTCAAGATGGGGAGGATTGAGAATTTGGGTCCTAACTCAGTTTGCGCAATATCCTCACGTTGCTGTAACGGCTGAGTTGGGGAGAAGACCAAGTCTTGCAGGTTCCCACCGTAGCTCTCTCTTAACCCCCAGAGCAAAGGGTAGCTTACCGTCTGGGCCCATCTCTTGTACCTGTGTTTGGAATTGCTGCTGATTCCTGGTTTAGGCAGTTATCCTATACCTAGGAAATTGACTATAAATACACTGGCCACATGTAACATAAATACTTGCTAGCAGAAATAAATGACAGTGTTTTTCCCCTTTAAATAACCTAGTTATGTTGTTGTACAGCGAATATAGAGATATTCTCATAGGTTGCGGATGGTAGCATAAAACTGGTAGAGCCTTTCTGGGAGCTAATTTGGCAGTAGGATTAAAATATCCATGTCCTTTGACTCAGTAATTCAGTGTACAGGAAATAATCAAGATTTTGCCTAATGACTTAGCTACAAGATGTTCACTGGAGCATCCCAACAAACAGGGTATATTATGGATCATAAATTAGATACTGTGCATATATCAAAAATATATAAATGTAGATATGTGCTTTTAGACATGGGAGGATGTTCATGATAGCCTATTGAATAAATAAATCAAGTCCACAACAGTAAATGCACTATTGATGTGTGTGTGTGTGTGTATAAAAATATATACATGTGCATAGAAGAAAGACCAAAAAGGATGGACCAAAATGATAATTATTTCTGGGTGAAAATTGTTAAGCAAATGTTTGGGCAAAAGGTTGGCAGTTGAAACCCACCCAGAGGTGCCTCAGAAGACAGGCCTGGCAATCTGCTTCTGAAAGGTGACAGCCTTGAAAACCCTGTGGAGTCTAGTTTTATTCTGCACACGTGGAATCCCCTTGAGTTGGAATTGACTTGACGGCAACTAACAAGAACATGATGAATAGTAATTTTAATTAATGATGGATAATTTTATTCTCACCATCTGTCTGTCACTGTGTCCTACTGTGGTGGCTTGTGTGTAGCTATGATGCTGGAAGCTCTGCCACTGTTATTTCAAATACCAGCAGGGTCGCCCATGGCAGACAGGTTTCAGTGGAGCTTCCAGACTAAGACAGACTAGGAAGAAAGGCCTGGTAATCTAGTTCCAAAAATTAGCCAGTGAAAACCCTATGGATTACAACAGAACATTGTCCAATATAATGCTGTGATCATGAAGGTAGTGCAGGACTGGCTAGTGTTTTCTTTTGTTGTGTCTAGGGTCACCATGAGTCGGTGCAAACTCAACAGCAGCTAACAACAATATAAACCCCAAAACCAAACCCACCGATGTCAAGTCGATTCTGACTATTTACAAAATAAATGTAAATTTCAGAAACTACTCATGCACAGAAATTCAGTAAATCATCCACCAAATGAATCGTGACGTCCCCTATACCACCCCTGCTCCCATCTCTTCCCCTTCCTCCTCAGAGAAAACCATGGTCCTGAATTTTTTTATCATTTCCTTCCTTTTCTTTATAATTTTACTAAATCATTTATTTCTAAATAATAGTTTATCTATTTTTTCATATTTTGGACTTCATATAAATGGACTCATTCTTTATTACTCTTCTGCAACATACATTTTTCACACTCGGTAGCTTGTTCCTTGAGTCGTTGGAAGGGCTGAGTTGAAGAGGGGTAGTTCACTTGTTTTATTTGTGTCCTGTCTTTCGTGTGTAAATGTACCATAGTTTACTTATGCATTTTCCTGTTTATGGACTTACGTGTGACTTAACAGTTTTTGCTTCCACGAAAGTTCTTGTTAATGACTTCTGGTGCACATATACAGGTGTTTTTTTGGGTGTAAATGTGGGAGTACTGGAATCACTGGGTTGTAGGTTGTGTGAATGTTCAACTTTACTAGATAATGATGAATATTTATACTCTCACCAGCAGCATATGAGTTTTCATTCTTCACATAGTCACCAACACTCAACAATATCAGACTTTTAAATTTTTGTTAATCCAAACCAACACCAAACCCATTGCCATCCGACTCATAGCGACCCTATAGACAGAGTAGAACTGCCCCATAGGGTTTCCAAGGCTGTAAATCTTTACAGAAGCAGAGTGCCACATCTATCTTCCACGAACAGCTGGGGAGTTCAAACCACCGACCTTTTGGTTAACGGCCTAGCACTTAACCACTACATCACCAGGGCTCTTTTGTTAACCCAGTGGGTGTGAAATGTTTTGATTTGCATTTCTCTGAACATCAGTGAGGTTGAGCATCTTAGGTTTATTAGCCATTGGTGATTCTTCTCTATAAAGAGTCTGTTCAGTTCTTTTGGTCCATTTATATTTGGGTTTTATTTGTACCCTTTAAATTGGTTTGTGGGAATTCTCTAGATCCTGGGAACTAATATTTTGTGATTTATACATATACATATTCTTTGGTTTAGTGGCTTGTCTTTTCATTTTCCATATAGTGTTTTTTATGAAGAGACATTCCTAACTTTACCCATTCTTTCTTTCATGGGTTGCCCCTTTTGTGTCTTGTTTAAGAAATTCCTTCCTACCCGAACCAAAACGAAACAAAACCTGTTGGTGTCGAATTGATTCTGACTCATAGCGATCCTATATAAACTCCTATATTTTCTGCTAAAATGGTCATAGTTTTGCCTCTGTATGGTGTGAAAGTGTCCAATTTTACTTCTTCCGTATGGATGACTCTTTGTTCCTGAACAGTTTATTAAAAGACCATCCTTTCCCCATAGATATATAAATACCAGTGTTGTCATAAATGAATTTTCCATCCATGTGTAGGTCTGTTTCCTGGGTCCTCCAGAGAACATCTGCCTTTGAGAATGCCAGCTACCAAGGGGCCTTACCAGGGAACTTCTTCAATTTTAAGTAATAAGGAACTATTTTCTCACGTAATAAGGCATTTATCTCATCCAACAGCAGTAAAGCTATTCCAGGGCTAGTCTGTGGCACAACGATTTCATCAAGGACCCCGGGCGTTTCCCGTCTTCCCACTTCTCCAGAATCAGTTTATTGGTGATGTTTACGCACAGCTGCAGCTGCTCCACGTTCCGTGTCCGCATATTATATAGTACCTCATCTGAAGCTGAAAAAGGTTTTAATACTTTAAATTCTCATCTCGAGGTTGTTTCAAACCACCCAAGTAGTGCACGTTTAAGTTGCTAGCTCCCACGCAGTCCCACTCAGGGTTATGAATTCTCGGATGAGGACTTTTCCCTCTGTCAATTCAGTGTTTCAAGACAGGCAATTTGCCTTGCAGATCCCCGTGGGGAGTGAAGTTATTTATTTCTAGTTCACCGTATTCTGAGGGTGTATCCCTGTGGGGACTGAAATTTGTGTAGGAGGATCTCATATTAAACTCTCCTCCCTGGGTTTCCTCTGCCCCATGTACTCCATGAGACCTTGAAAACCAAAGCTGGAATTCACCAGTTTGGCAAATGTTCCCTCTTTCCCATTGTCTTCCAGTCCATTCCAACTCATAGCAACCCTGTAGGATAGAGTAGAACTGCCCCATAGGGTTTCCAAGGAGCTACTGGGGGATTCAAACTGCTGACCTGTTGGTTAGCAGTCGAGCTTTTAACCACTGTGCCACCGGGGCTCCTTAGCAAGTGTAGAACTTGGCAAAGCTTGCTTGGTTTACATCTCTGGCTTTCCACTTTTACTTAGTTTTTTTGGCTTCTTAGTGTTCTCCACTTTCTCGGCAGCTCATCACACATTAAGAGAGACTTTTTTTTTTCCTGAAATTTTTAGTTGTTTTCAGTTGGAGGGTCAGTCAGAATGTCTAGACCTTCAGCCTGTGGAAATAGAAATTGGCTAAATTCATTTTAAAATTGCATTATGTTTTATCAATCTTGTCTCCAGGTTTGTTGGAGACTGAACCACTGCAAGCAAGAGATGAAGATGCAGTAGCCAGTGCTGACTTTTCTAGCATGCTATCAGAGGAGGAAAAAGAAGAGCTAAAGGCAGAATTAGTTCAGGTATGGTTAGTAATCTTCTTATTGTTCATATTTCTATCTCTGGATCTTGAGAGTTATTAAGAAGTTGATATAAGTCTCATATTACAGTTAAGTACCTTTCATTTAATAAAATGTTATAAATGAATACACTGCAAGATTATTCATTTTACCAGAGTATTTTTGTAATCGTAATTGTTCATTTTCCCTGGATGGCACAAACGGTTAAGCACTGGACTACTAGCTTAAAGATTGGTATTGCAAACCCACCCAGAGGCACCTTGGAAGACAGGCCTGGCTATCTGCTTCTGAAATGTCACAGCCTTGAAAACCCTATGGAGAGTTCTACCCTGCACACATGGGGTCACCATGAATTGGAATTGACTCGATGGCAACTAACAGCAGTAACAGTTGTCCATTGCCTGTTAATTACAGTGGTAAAATGAATGGTTGTGCTCCTTAAGCAACACTCGTACTTGGTTTTTAATATATACCCCTTGTTATTTTTAGTACCAGAACACTGTGGGGTTAATAAATCACTTACAGACCTGATGGAATCCATTCAAGATCACGGCACAGGTGCCAGCTCCTTTTAATAGCAGTGCTTGTTTGAGGTCAGCAACCTAGTTCAAAAAATGATTTATCTTTTAATGGAAAAGTCCATCATTGACTTGTGTACTCTTTTCAACAAGAATAAAGCTCTGGGAGTCCAGAGGAAAGCAACAATTAATTTAGGCTTAATTAAGTCTTATGTAGTTGCTGTGGAGATGTGGACAGAGAGGAAGGAAAGCACCTTGCTAGTCATGAATAGGACTCTTTGTTCAAGCCTTTTGTTTGCAGGACCCACTGATCCTTAAACACTTGACTAAGAAGGCTTTACTTTGTAGGAGGCATGGGCTGGAGGAGGGGAGCCCCTCATGTAGAACTGAGCAACAGGGCTGGAGGGGAAGAGGTCAGCATTCCCTCCCCATTCTTTGTTCCTGGCTCTAGAGCAGGAAGATCCTGTTCCAGGTGGAAGGAAGGCTTTGCATTCCCATTATAGCCTTTTTCTACAGCCTGAGGAGGTGCCCAGGAGCTCCACATTACACTTACCCCCTTTGCCCACCCTGGACTCTTGAAGCTCTAGCATTCTGATAGTCTATGTTTATGATTCTCTTCTTCTCTTGCAGTTGCCGTTGAATCAATTCCAACTCATAGCGATCTCATGTGTCAGAGTAGAACCGTGCTCCATAGGGTTTTCAGTGGCTGATTTTTTGGAAGTAGATTGCCAGACCTTTCTTTCCAGGTGCCTCTGGGTGGATTCTAACCTCCAAACTTTAGTTAGCAGCCGAGCACATTAATGTGTGAACCACCCATAAACTCCAATATTAATTACAAGTGTTTATGATAGCTTATAATAATATTGAAGTCCGTGGGTGGTTCAGATGGCTAATGCACTTGGCAGCTAACCAAAATGCTGGTAGTTTGGGTCCATCCAGAGGTACCTGGGAAGAAAAATCTGGCAGTCTACTTCTGAAAAATCAGCCGTTGAAAACCCTATGGAGCACTGGGGTCACCCTGAATCGAAATTGACTTAATGGCAACTGGTTTGTAATAATATTAAAAACTTTTCAGGTGATTTCAAAGAATACACCCTAAGAAAACTTAATTATGAAATAAAAGAGCAGCTTGTTCCTCTGGTACAGCCAGAAGATATTTCAGTAAGCACAGTGCCTCAAATCAAATAGGCCGGCTGTTTGTGTCTGGCTGTGGTCAGTGAACTAGAGCTACACAGTTTACCCTAGATTGGCCACCTATGCCATACTGCGTAGACCAAAGTCAGCATTAGTGCGTAATGGAGTAGCTCCACATTTTCTTAAGGCCTGGAGTTCTGGTTCATAACCTGTTCATGTCAATTGTGGCGTCCAAAAGTTATGTTCTACAGACTGGTTCAAAGCTAAAGTTTAACTTCTTCACCTTTATAGCCCTAAATTTAAGTTCAGGAACAACCTTTGTAACAGACAAACTGTTATAAAATGCCTTGATTTTTCTGGGTTCTGGGATTATTGGTATATACATACATATATACACCAATGTGTGTTTGTTTTTGTGTATCCTATACTTTCTAAATATTCAACAGTGGACATGCATCACTTTTATAATCAAGAAAACACAATCTTAATTGAATGCTACAATGAACATAAAAATCTAGCATTGTTTTCAGAAATTCCTGTTTCATGGGCCATATCAGTAAACTTCCAACTCGTGTCATTCCTAAGACTTTTTGAGCCTGACTTTTGAAAGTATCACTAGAATCTTTGTCCCTGTGTTCAAGTTATTGGTATTCATGTTTGCCTCAGTCAGAATGCATTAGCTTTCATGCTTCCTGCTTCTTATTTCTGGGTTCTTCAGAGATGAGGAACTATTGCATCTTGCAAAAGTCACATCAGGTGACTTCCAGAGGCCCATGGGGACAGCTGTACAGCCCAGGCCAAGTGGAAAACAAAGCAAGCTATCTTTGGTGTTTTTTTTCTCTTCGTTTTTCTTTCTTTCCTCCTCCACCTGAGGCCACCTCTTCTTTATGCTCATTCATTTCTTAAATCTGCTTTCCCCAGCCTTTTACACACAGACACCTGAACACGCATGTATAAATGCATGCACACTCACACAAAACGAAGTGGGTTCTTTCAGATTACAGATGCATTCAGATTACCGAAAGGGCTAGGGTTTAGCTCTAATCAGAGATCCAACTCAGCAGTCCCACAATTGGCCTTAATGAAGAACTGGGACATTTTTTAGATGGTTCAACTCCTCTGTCTCAACTCTCCACAAACTTATTTTTCATCAGCCCCTGGTCCAAGCAATTCCTCTTTTTGGCTGTGAGAAGACTCTGCTGGGTCTATTAGCCACTCAAGAAAGAGGGTACTTCACAGGGTGCTGACCAACCTATTAGGTCATTGCCTTTGAGTCAGGCAATCCATCGTGGCCATGATCCAAAGCAAGGCCTTTGTGTACAAGGACATCTAGCCTCTGACTGCTTCACTTAAAAAGGGTTTTGGGGTGTGCCAAGTATCTAGTCTCTGCTTCAGTTCACTCTTTTCTCTGGTTTCCTCACATGCTCCTAGTGTCTTCTGGCTATGCCAGATCCCTCCTTCTCCAGCACTCCTCTTCTCCCTTCCCCGAGGCCTTACTCTGCACTATTTTGTGTTAACATTCACGTACAGATACCTTTAGACTTGGGTGATGTTATAACTCCATTTACCCACACAGTCAATGTATTTTTTGGGCCTATCAGATAAGTGCCAGCAATAAGAAGACTTATGCTTTTGGTGGGAGACATAAAATTAGCCAATTGTGTCCAAAAGGCTTACATCTTGGACAAAGTCTGTACTTTAAAAAAGAAATCTGTTGTTAACATATTTAATCTCTAATTTATTATTGCAGTCATGCAATATGTGTATCTTACAAGTTCCTTGAATGGGAGACTAATATCACCTCTGATCTAGTACACTGATTTGTGCTAGAAGGTGTGTAATTAATATTTATAATTAACTTGAAGTATTTTATATCATCAGCAGTTATTTATATTTGCTGATATTGCTTCATATCCTTTCATTGTAATAAATCATATCCATGAGTACAATCATATGCTGAGTCTTGTGAGTCCTCCTAGCAGATCACCGAACTTGGGGATGGTCTTGGGGCTCCCTGACATATTTGTTTTTTTAAACTTTATTAAGAAATAAATTTTTTCTAGCTTAAGGTATAAGAAAGCTTATAAACATATTTAAGAATAAAGTTTCACTTAGTAAATTGTAAGAGTAGCTTTTTGTTTTTTGTGCTGTAAGTGAAAGTTTACAGCTCAAGTTAGTTTCTCTTACAAAAATTTATACATACATTGTTATGTGACCCTAGTTTCTCTCCCTATAATGTGTCAGCACACTCCTCCTTTCCACCCTGGATTTCCCATGTCCATTCAGCCAGGTACTGTCCCTTTCTGCCTCCTCATCTCACCTCCAGAAAGGAGCTGTCCATTCAGTCTCATGTACCTACTTAAACTAACAAGCACGCTCTTCACAAGTACCATTTTATGTCTTATAGACCAATCTAATCTTTGTCTGAAGAGTTGGCTTTGGGAATCGTTTTAGTTCTGGGTTACCAGAGAGTCCAGGGACCATGTCTTCTGGGGTTCCTCCAGTCTCAGTCAGACCATTAAGTCTGGTCTTTTTACTAGAATTTGAATACTGCACCCCACTTTTCTCCTGCTCCATCAGGGACTCTCTGTTGTGTTCCCTGTCGGGGCAGTCATTGGTGGTAGCCAGGCACCATCTAGTTCTTCTGGTCTCAGGATGATGCAGTTTCTGGTTTATGTGGCCCTTTTTGTCTCTTACGCTACTATTTTCCTTGTGTCTTTGGTGTTCTTCATTCTCCTTTGCTCCAGGTGGGTTGGGACCAGTTGATGCATCTTAGATGGCTGCACGCTAACTTTTGAGACCCCAGATGCCACTCACTCACCAAAGAGGGAGGCAGAACATTTTCTTAATAAGCTTTGTTATGCCAGTAGACCTAGATGTCTCCTGAAACCATGGTTCCTAGACCCCTACCCCTGCTACTCTCTCCCTTGAAGTGTTTGTTTGTATTCAGGAAACTTCTTAGCTTTTGGTTTAGTTCAGTTGTGCTGACTTCCCATGTAGTGTGTGTTGTCCTTCCCTTCACCTAAAATAATTCTTGTCTACTATTTAGTTAGTCAATACCTCTCTCCCTCCCTCCACACCCTCGTAACCATCAAAGAATGTTTTCTTCTGTGTTTAAACCTTTTCTTGAGTTCTTATAATAGTGGTCTAATACAATATTTGTCCTTTTGTGACTGACTAATTTCACTCAGCATAATGCCTTCCAGATTCAGCCATGTTATGAGACGTTTTGCAGATTCGTCTTTGTTCTTTATTGTTGTGTAATATTCCACTGTGTGAATATGCCCTAATTTGTTTATCCATTCATCTGTTGATGGGCACCAAGGCTGTTTCAATCTTTTTGCTATTGTG